CATATGCTGGCAGGTGTATGATCTCTGCACATGGTCGCAACCTGATGATGTCCATGGCCAATCTGGCATGCCCCCCGGGGCTTCACCTCAAACTGGCGTTATCAAATTATTATGATGAACGATTTCCGGTCCATTCTCGTCGTCGGCGTGTATACATTCGTCACTAGGGGTGTTCCGAGCTCAGCTGCGCGTAAACGTGGCTATTATCTACAGCAACACAATCCGCAGTGATAAAGATTACACAACTCGTAGCACAGTGGTCTAGCCAGGACTTCACTCGGGGATGGGACACTGTCGGGTAGTAGAGACCCTTCAGCCAGATGGACAGCCATAGGGAGCCTTTCGATCAGTTTTCTTTGTCGCTATGCTTTTTGATTGTGGTGAACTTCAAGGCCCTGGATTATGTCATGCCTTGAGGCGTTTTATCTCTTAGGAGCCCTACGAATGTCTTAAATTGTCAAAAACTCTGGCGGTAGCGCCAACTCCAGAGGGAAGGGGCATTGCCCCAAATGCCTAAACCCCTGCCCACACCAATGGCATGACATCTGACAGGTCATGGAAAGGGAAGTTTCCGAGCCTATTGAGTGTGTGTGCGTATGTGCGTGCGTGGCGATTATGTGAAATCTTTTAAAAAAAGGCGTGGCATGCACCATTGTGTCAGTGATAATGGTGAGAATGGGCTGTACACACATCCAGAGAAGTAGACATGAAAGCCAGAAGTATTGGATTCAAAGACTTTGCATTTAATGGTACAATGGACGCAAACTCTGCCTGATTGCTGGCTGAAAGTGGGCAGCCTCCCGTCAGCGGTGGCATGGAGGTGAACAACTGTGTCCATAAAATCTATCGCCGGCACTTGTCCTGCCAGCAATACAGGGTATGTCGGTACAGCATGATAATAACAAGATCGTTTATATATACATCACAAGACCATAGACCATAAATCACACACATATATATATATATATATATATATATATATATATATATATATAGATCATAAGAGCTTATATACATAATAGCAAGATCAACAAACCTTGATGCTGAGCGCAATTTTCAACAAGCAACGTCGCATCTAATTATCATGTTTACGGAACTTATGGAACAAGAATGCGGCCATCTTAGCTTGGTAGCGTCCACCGCGTTCATATATAGTTCCACCGATGTGACCTGTAGCTGAAGCCTAGCATGCTCAGTCCTTGGTTATTGCAGTCGGAAGAGTTGCATGCGAAGATATGACGTCATTCTTCGACCGCGGTGTTGATTTTTAACGCGAGCTAAGCACGGCACTGACAGGAAGCGCGACTCTCGTCTCCACTGAAAGCATCTTGCAGGTCATTGGTCAAAACTGACCTGCAAGGGTCGCCCCCGGGTGGGCTCGAACCACCAACCTTTCGGTTAACAGCCGAACGCGCTAACCAATTGCGCCACGGAGGCCTGGGGAATGTTGAAACAGGCCCTCAAATCCGTGCGATGGGTTCACAGCTGTACACATTGACCTGCCGGGAAATGATGACGCATCTCCTGACCCTATCACATTGTTGGACACGTTGGCTTGCAGCGATGCCGGCCGTTTTGACCCGGCCTTACTACACCAGTGAGAAACGAGTCCTTGCTGGCTTGGCGAGCAATCCGTTTAACGCGGCTTCTTGTTCATCTTCACAGACTTACAAGTTCCGGTTTTCCTCTTCACGTCTCCGCAAGTCCAGGCGTGTTATAAGGGCTTTGCCAGATTGGATACATTGTCTGGGTTGCACAAGTCCGTCAGTGACAGTGCGCGGCTGAATATGCGCTACTTTAGGCGAAGTCACAAGTCAAGAAGTCAAGTCTCCGTCATCACCTCGGTGTGCATTTTGGTCACTGGACTTTCCCAATACTGCTGCACGGGGACGTACGCATGTGGTGTTCCCCCCCCCCCCTCAGGAGCATGTGGCCCTCGCCTTATCAAATGCATTGTGTGTATCAATGTATTTGCGTAAATTCGGGCTGAAATTCAAAAAATCCGTTGGGCAAGTAAAGCTACACGAATCAAGAAAGGTGAATTTGCTTTACCTCATGAATGGAAGTTCGCACGCCTGCGGTGCGCTAAACCGGGTTTCCAATGAATTGTTTTGGGCCTAGCACCCTCCTTCCATCGCGACTATGGCGTACAATCCGGCTGCTGGAGGTGCCTGGATATTGAATGTAATGACACCGTCCCATCGTGATATCAATTATGGGGTACGTAACAGGACAGTGCAGATTGCAAATCTATCCGGTATATGTGTCGATAAGCCCAAGTCAATCCGAAAGAGGGCGTGCATGTTCACTCGTGTATCGATGGTGATCAATATGTGCATGCGGTGCATGCAAAAAGTAGAAATGAGCATTGTTACCAGTTCTGCGGATAGTGAGGGCCAAAAGCAGTTGAGTGAAGACACTCTAATTGGTGGCATGCACCTCATCCGGTTGCCACTGAAATTAGCAGCCTTCGGCAGTGACGTGGTAGCGTTGGTAGTACGCAATGATTGCAGAGGTGTGATGAAGAAGCATGACGACTGATCTCATGGCTTAGCGCAATTTTGAACGAAAAACTTTCTGAATAAAGCAGCATGTTTTTTACACCCAATTACTTTGCCTCTAGATTGATCATGTCCATCACCTTTTACTCAAATTTAACCCTTTGGTCTAGGGCGGGGAGGAGCGCGGTGGCATGTAGCACGTCATGGTCCCGTCCCTAGGCCCTGAAGTCAAAGGGTCCCTCAGGGCTGGCGATCAGGAGCCCGATGATAAGGCCTGAATGGTCTGAAGTGCCGGATTCAGGCCGCATTAAGGGACCACGATCCGCAGGACCCGGTCCTCTAAAGTCAGTCACAGGGCCGTCACCCGGGCGCGTGTTAAGTATTACGCAATATGCTTTTTTTTTTAGAAAACTAGCCACCGCATGTTACTTGAAATATTGTCAGCATTTTCATAGCGTTTCCACAACTTCTAGTCCATACACATGTGGCTTAATTGCAATGTTTATCGCCCAGCACCATTGTTGGTGCACTGAGCCATATATCGCGCGGTGGCACAGCAAAATGAACAGAATAGCAAAATGGCATACCTTTTCAATTCAGCAAAACCATTTTAGGTTGTAAAAGTGGTAAGGGAGTTAAGGATGGGATGACAACGATGGTGACAACGGGGTAGTGGGTGAGTATATGTGGGGTGAAGCTGATATACCCAGAATGGAAATATGTTCTGGCCTGAACATGTCCTGTATGGCCTGGCCTGAACATGTGAGCCTTAACATGTCCATTTACATATAATAGTGCCTCCAACCCCCATTATTGCGGGGGTGGGGACGTTTCGGACAAATCATGATCACTTGTTATATCCGGTCACGCAGATATATAATCATTCCGGTTTCCTAGAGACGTCAGCCGTCCGTCTCGCTCTTCCTGGCGTATGATGTGAAATTTCAGTTGTTTAATATGCATTTGGATCTAACGTCAATCAGCGGCTTTTCAGCTGATTTGCTGACCCATGACACCCAAAAGTCAAGAAAGTTCGATTATTTTGCACGACCTCCTATGACGCGATGCGTCATACGATGTCATGCAATGCACATATGCTAAAAAATTAGCTGTGTAGTGTCTGGCCATGTCGGGTTACGTGGGTGTTATGGACAACCGGGTCAGGCCACAACAGGCAAAGGTGTCAGATCGTAAGGATGAGAGCATATAAACGAGACATCATCATCAGCGTGAAGTTAGGATCAAGAGAGGTTCCATGGTCCAAGTGAATCAAGTGATTCTGATCTTATTGCACCGGGATCAAGTGAGGCTAGTGTCCTCCGATGATTTTTTTTTACCTAAAATAGCTCCTTGGTTACTATTTGCATGCATATTTGCTCCCTGGTTACCATCTGTAATTTATAGCATGATTATTCACATCATTTTCACCGGAAAGGGTGCTTTCCGGCAGAGTAATTCACTGAACCAATTCGTTAGCATTTTGCTAATGTTTAACTGTTAGACACGCTTTAGTAGGTTTAAGATGGACTTGACTTCGTCCCACGTTACGTCTTTTGATGTGCAAGACAAATAAAGACTATGGTGCTGTTACCATGGCGTGTGCTGTTGTCGTAGTGACTATGAATGTCCCGATTTCGAATATTCTGACCCTCCTTCAGGTCGTTTTCATGACCTGAGAGGTAATCAAATAGCCGAAAACAAAAAAAAAACAGATATAACTGAAGGGTTTATATGAGATGCACCAGGGTAACTCTGACCGCATTGTTCTATCTGTCTTAGTTTTATATCGGTCAATATATGCTGATATGGACCCCTCGCTATTGGCGAGGTCAGGAAGCCCAGGAGGGCATGACCTAAAATGTACGCCTATCACGAATGCATATTTCGTCTTCGCTCCGAATATATTTCATTATGGTTGGAATCCCGTTTTGCAACCAGCCCACCCAAGGCAAGCAAGTTAACTCTTAATTTAGCATCTTAATTCCAATAAGATTATTGTCATCCATGACAGATTTCTAACAACTGACATGGTGTTACTTTTAGGTGTCAGCGTTAGGCGTAGCGCTATGACTCAAACTGCTCCCGCAATTCAGATCCCATACTGAGTGTTATCCTCACATGTCATCAATGCCCGGACCGATTTTTGCAGAACTGCTGTTGCATTAAGAGAACAAAAGAGAGGAGAAGAGAAGAAAACATAACAAACCTATCAAAAGCAGGGCCAATTCGCATTGCTCTACGCATGTGTCTAAAATCATTGCTCTGCTAGATCTCTGTTTATTCCCTTTAGTCTCTTGTTGAACCTTTGATTTCAACAGTAACCGTTCGGAAATCACCCGCCTAATTGAACGGGTCAGGTTTCGCGTGGGCCGGGCGCTGTCCTGATTGGCTGAGGGAGCGGCCTCGCCCCATTGGTCCATTGGTCGCCGCTTTCTCGTGGGGAATTGAATATAAGGTGCCGGAGAGGCGGCACCAGCATCGCAGTCGGCGGTGGAGCAGCACAGCGGCGACCACGAGGCGATCTCCTCCCGGGACAAGCACCGAGTGAGTCTCACGCCGCTGACCATCAGCAGACAGAACACGCTGAAATGCTGCCATATTTGAGCCCATCTCAGATGAAAATGTGCTGGTAGACGTCCGTCAAGTGCTGCTGTGACTACGCCTGAAAGACCAGTTACAGCGCCTAACAGTAGACGTTTGCTATGGTCAAAAACAAGTGCATACAGCCGTTAAGTGAGTACCGGACGCAGACGCCGTAAATGCTTAGCCCATTGTCACCATCATTGAGCTCTTGATGGCAACTGCCATAATAATGTTCCTGGTCAACAATCACCAACGTGTTCATGTATATGTCCCCTCAAAGGGATATTGGTCATTACCACAAAATGCAATGACTGTGCCGTCAAATATTACGTTTACTGAATGCTGTTCACGTGCAGTGCTGACTATGCGTTTTACATTGCTCTGAATGTGCTTATTTTGTCTGTCATTCACTCTTGTCAAATCTCGGAAAGCGTCAACAATATCTGTGCTGCATCTTACCACATGTATGTCAGATACCTGTATGTAACTTGGTGCATTTCGCAAATGGCGTGCAAAGAACGGCAAGAAATTCACCAAGTAAACAATACGACCGCCACCTTATGCAAAGTAAAGAGCTGTTGTTTTGGTCGTCATATGAATGAGGGTGGGGGCTTTTAGCAGCGTTCTGCATCAGCATGAATTTGCATGAGTTTGCCTAGGCCTTGATATTTTCAATGATATGCACAACAATCTCTGACGCTGTTTACCCAAGCAAAATTGATGTACGCATTTGCAATCAGTGTCCGAGATTGACCTGGAAGCAGCCGTGACCTTCCGTTCTGGTCTGGTTGGTGGTCCGTGTTCCATGGTTTGCGATCGAGTCTTTCATCCGGAGACCATGATCGAGGGTTTGTCCTGTTAACGACAGACAGACCGCAGTCACCACACCGGTCATCTTGCCCCGGGCCACTGCTGCGTGACCAGGCGGACTTAACCAGGCTCACACAGAGTTCTATTCAGTTCAGCCCGGCTCAGTGACCACCAGCCTGTCCCTGACCGACGACGGTCGCCCACGTGCCGGTCACTGAACGCTCACATCGGGCCAGGAGGCGGCCTGGTGTACTGCGGTACAGTCTACCAGCCCGGCTTCCACCGGCGGGTTGCTGGTGCAGCCTCGGAGCAGATTTGGCTGGTGGAAAATATTGGCTGGGACCGTGCTAAACCCCGCACAATAACAGTAGAATCTTAATTCAACCTGGTCCGCTTAAATCATTCCTGCCATGAACAAATCAACAACATCACAACATACCCCTTACGCACGATTCTGACAACGTTGGGACGCATCATACAGGACATAAGTGCAAGTTCTCTGACATGATGCACGTTGTGATCTGGCCCTCATCTTATCGCATTACCTGATATTGGCCCAGTGATGATATGGCTGTCTCTTGACCCTTGTCTTGACTTTGATCTGACCTGGTTTCAGAGCCATGACTCACCACGTGTCTACAATTAGCGTCTGCGCCTGGCTGGCAGCCATTGTCTGCTTCGTCTTCAGCTTGTCTTCCTGCAGCGCCGCCAGCGTGCAAATGGAGGACACTGGGAGGTGGGCAGCTTTGAACGCGCGGGGAGAAAAGAACAGCTGAGAGAGATCGGGCTTCATGTCTTGTTTTGAAAAGCAGAGAACTGTTCTACCACCATAGGGCTTCACTATGATCAATGCGTTTGTTCGTGGTGCTACACTTTTCGCAACGGATCTTTTACGTGTCATCTTTTTTTGTATTTAAAATGAACAGTTGAATAATCATAACTTAAAATTTGGTGCAGTGGCCCAGCTAAAGCAGTCGGTGGCTGGTTCACCACATAAGCTTTTGATATTTGCATTGATATGTAACACGAGGACCGTATATTGGGTACAAGCCCTGTTTTACGACAACCTGCACCCGGCAGGAAATCTTGGGCGGACGTCGTGGACAACTTGCAGAACGACCCCTACGTCAGCGAGCTGGTCAATCGGCTGCGCGCGCTCAACGATGCAGAAGAGGCTAATCTGGCCCAGTACGAACTAGATAGATATTTCCGAGAACACGTGCCGTTTTTCCATCTGTACAACAAAGTGCCGGCCGCGCCTACTGCGGCGCGGTCCGTTTACGCCGGGTAGGTCACCAGGGCTCCAATAGATGTCGCTGCCTGCCGCTTGGCTGTTCGTGCATTGTAGCCTGGCCAAGAGAGGACATCATTGTAGAGAACGTTGCCATTCTACCTTGTTTTTACCAACCTGCCCGGCTAAATGCGCTGAACTGCAATCAGCTAATCGTTTTTTGAAATATGTTTTGTCCACTACTTATCATCCTTCTCTTTGCATATGACGAATGATACTGTGCTGTTGCGGCCTAACGTTCTACCTTCTACGATTACCAGATGGTTTTAAGTTATGCTTAGAATATGTGGTAGTTCATTCAACGTCTCACGGCCTGTTTGGTACGCTTTTTTAATAGTCGCGTTTTACTCCGCTTTTGGCAGATAATGCATGGGAACTTTCCACTCTGTTTCTGCGCCAACCTCACACGTGATAACTATACGAATATATATCTTACGAATCAATTCAGAGAAATGCAAACTGCATGCTTAAAATCAAAATCTGTCGGTACACCGCGTCCCTGGTTCGCAGCTCAAACCACTGCGACTCATGTTACCTCCGACCGGCGTCCGTTTCCCACAGCAAGCGCGGACTGGACTTCGGCCTGGGCCGCGGCTTCTCGGCCACGCAAGCGGCCAAGCATAAGATGGGCCTGGCAGCGGCGGCCTTCCCGGGCGGACCCGGCCGCCGGCGACGCTCCGTCGAGTAAACGCTCCATCTGTAAACCAGACCTCCATCTGGCGTGCTCTCCTCTGCCCCAGCGGCTCCGTGTGAAGCTGCCATTGCCAACTGAAGCGTCAACCAGCCGGCCTCGGCGGTCTGGATCCGGTGGTCACGCGGGGTCAGCTGACTCCGGCGGGCCGGGCCGCTTCGGTTCCGTGAGCCGACCAGGAAAACACGTTGGAGGCTGCTGAAGAGGCTGTAGGTAGCCTGATCTGCAGTGGGACGCCTGAGCCTCAGCTTATCCCACAGGATCAGCTGATCCCACTGATCCTCACAGCTGCTGGCCAGTCACCTCTCCGCCACCGGCTGATACTGTGCTGGTTGTTCGCTCACGGACGGGGGCGGTCTTGTCGTTCTCATACCGGGGTCACATACGGACCTGTTGGTTTAGTCACATATGGGGAGCTGAGCGAGCATGCCATCTTTGTTGTATGTGTTACTTATTGTTGGATAAAACACGTCCTATTTGACTGGTAATCCTAGTTTTCTCGAAATCCTTTCGAATGGCTTAGAATTCCGATTTGACATCGCTACTACGACAGGAAAACTATCTTTGGACTCCCTGCTCATTATTGCAAAGGCAATACTTTTCACTTCCTTGCTTTTTCCAACGAGTATATTCTGTGATGTGTGCAATACAACAATTCGTGAAAGTGCTTGTGAAACGCATCATCTGAAAACTCTGAACACCCCTTAAGAGACGATATATACAAACATGAGGCTACTACCACAGGAATTCAACGAAATGTGATAATATGGATTTCATTTCGTTCCAATGGCGTTAAGCACAGCGTCCCTCTTCGAGCGTATTTTGGCTTTATGGAACGGACATATCACATGGTCTATGGTGACGCACTGGTTCAAACACCATCGAATGCACTTCTCGGTAAATGACCGTCTCCGCCCGCTGAGCCAATCGTCATGGCGACGCGGTTGTTGCGGACTGAGGCCGCATCCACTCAGGGGCTACGCGGTAAAAACCGAGAACACGCTTAGTGTAAGACGAACAAAACTGTTGCGCTTTAATCACGCTATGTGATCCATTTTAACAATGTGAGCGTGTAACGAAGCCGTTGCAAATATGCACGGATATAAGGTACCGAGAAACGCGAACTGTGTTTTAAAACCCTCATAAGAAGTGTTCCGTGGCTCGCTTTAGACGTACGCCGAGTTACTGAACTCGAATTGAGTTTTCTCACTCTGGATGTGTAGCACGAATTCATAATGTGACGTATCCTAAAATGAGCTACATAACACTGCATTCACAACACGACCTGGTGATGTAACAGGAATCAAACTGAGTCGGTTTATGCTGTTATACAGATCCATGATAAAATTGTTCTATTGCCAGAAGAAAGCAATCGAGAAGCAATCGTTCATGTTCATAACACAAATAGAATTGCGTAGTTCCCGGCGGGAATTGCTTATTGTTGAGTGTAGGACGATGCATCTTTAACTTACAAGCCCTGATATTCCTGTCTGCACATTGCATTTTTGTCTTCTGAGCACAACATTCAGAGAAAAGTAGCCTATTAAGGCAATGCGACTAGTCAACACTAAAAAGCTCCATAACGGCGTATAAAACATCTGTGTTTCCGCTCGTTATATATATATATATTTATATATATATATATATAGAGAGAGAGAGAGGAGAGAGAGGAGAGGGAGAGAGACGAGAGATGAGAGAGACGAGAGGAGAGAGAGAGAGAGAGAGGGAGAGAGAGAGAGAGAGAGACGAGAGGAGAGAGAGAGAGGATGAGGAGAGAGAGAGAGAGAGAGTCTTATCCCAAGTTTATATTTAAATTATTGTTGCTGCTTACATTTCAATGGAATGCTTACAGACCACTCTGTTTATTTGCAGTTTCTTTATCACATTGGAAAACCTTCAAACGAAAATTTGCAGCGAAAAACGTTTGCTGAATGCCATGGTGCAACGCATCTTTGCTCGTAGGCGCTGAGTAACGAACGCACAGAGATGGTACATCGAGTGTTACAACGTACATATGGGAAAGACGAAGCCTCAAAAAGGAGAATCGGGTCGGACCTCGTTTCTTGGCGACTACCGCTGGTCTGCAGCTAGCTAACAGCTCATACGGGTGGGGGTCGACTTGATCCCTGAGTTTTCAAACAACTGAGAAAGCTAGAGGCACCAAATTCATAGCATATGTTGATCTGTACATGAACTCACTTGTGTCAAAATATGAGGTTCTTAGGTTATGACCTTTAAATCAAACAGGGTCAAACAAGGTCAAACTCCAAATTTGTATCCAAAGTGCCCACAGACCGTCTGGTGCAACCACCGTCAACCTAGATACCTGTTTAAAGCAAAAGATCACTGGTACCTATTTGAGTTCAGTAACCTTGTGTGATCTTTCGAAGGACATGATGACCAAAATCATACGATACTGCCTGGATGCCTGCATGTGAACAAGTGCCAATAACTACGTTAGGCTGTATGTTCTTAACAACAAAATGTTGATCTGGATCATGTTAAGTCAGTGACCTTTTCTGACCGTTAAGACGTCTATGAAAGATGTATAATGTGGTTCCTATAATCAATATGCTTAACATTAGCGCCAGAAACAACCTCATACAGCGAGCTCTGTAGTAATACAAGATTGATTTTGTCCTTGGCCTGGCCTTCATACCTGACCTTAGCTCAATGAATTTGCTAATTCAGTCGTTGTGTTGCCTAGGAAACCATTACAGAGATGTATATGATTTCGTTTAACACTCCGTTGCTGCATCAGATTGAGGTTCCATAGAAATTGCCCTCGCTGAGTTCATGACCTGCTTTTGACAGATCAGTAGGTCGGTGACCTTGCGAGGTGCATGTAAAATTTTGATACCAAGCAATCCGCTATTCTATTGTGTACAGCATGCAAGACTTCAAGCGGCTACGACGCGCCCTTCAGAACTTGTTCCGGAAAACCTTGGGGGGATCAAATCGACCCCTACCCGAGCGCGCATGAAGGTAGCTCTTTCTTATGATAGCTAGGTGTTGTTATTCGCGGAACTGTTAAAGCTTAGTTTGGTCTCTGGGACCGGGTTTTGTCAACTTCGCCACCAGGGTCACTTTGCCGGCACAGTGGTTAAGTGAGCCTGGCATCGTTAGTAATATGAATACTACATCAAGGGCGTGTGAAGCTTTCCAGCTACCGTATCCGTTACCGAATTTCCCCATGCCTGAATAACCTCTCTCCGGAGTATATGCGCACTAGGGCGGCCACTCGTGTGTCACGCCGGAGTATATGCTCCAACAGCGGCCACACTGAAGTATATGCTCCACCAGCGACCACTCGTGGCCTAAGCCAATACGTAGCTCTCCCTACTCGTGGCTCAACCCAACAGGTGGCTCTCCCCACCCGTGGCTTGACACAAATCGTGCAGGTAGTCCTGGATAAACCGGGTGCTGCGCGGATGCAGGATGAAGCGTGGATGGGAAAGAAGGGTGCATGTCTCCGGTGGCGGTGCACACCTGTTTACGATGAACGTATCGCCGCGGGTGGCTCAGACTAGGTATATGGGCACGGCCAGCGTCGAGGAGCCGTGCCTTTGCCGGAAGGAGGCCACCACGCAGTGTCACGCGCCCAGTCGGTGGAACAAGCCCGATCCGTACTGTGAGTTACGGCACGCCTCAGCAAACAGCTCGGTTGGCGGTGGCCAGCGGTGGTGACGGGTGACGTGCTATTTACGCCAGTCCGGCGTCTGGTGGCCTTTTGTGCAAGTCGAGGTACCAAACTTGGTCGGCAGATGTCAGGCAAGCGGTGGCCGCCTTGATCGCGTTCTGCGGCAGAGACCACGCGTTGATCAACGTGGGCCGGCAGCCGGCTGAGGGCACGACCGACGGGGCGGCACACACACCAGGCGGCGCACGTCACCAGAGAGGGCGCCACTGCGACCTCAAGCGACGGCACGCCGCCCGCCCGCAGGTCCCCGCGGTGCTCTCTCACCGTGCGAGGTGAGGGTATGGCTCGGTAGTGGAGACCGCCCACGATGCTTGCGATATATCCCCTGGCATTTATATTTCCTTAATCACATGACACTGAAATGATAATTGATGTCCGAGAGTGCCGAAATTCGAACAACATCAAACCAATGGCATGGCAAAGGAGAAAATTTGGGGCGAAGGGTTGGGGGTGTCCTGCTCTTTGGTGGTGACGGGAGGCCTTGGGCCCAAATGGTTCAATATATTTTTGCAGTTTACAATGCCCGAAGGCCTTTTAGGAGATAGAGAGAAGTGTCTCAAAGGCTTCTCCGAGTGAAAAATACAGAGCCCTTTAACGACGAAGATGGAACCCTTCAGATGAATAGCCCACCTGTTAACCGACGAAATCCTGGCTACCCCACTGAATCAGAGTGTAGCAAGTTTAGCAGAGGTGCCAGCGACACAGCGACGGTAATAATGCGGCCGGTCGCGTGGGCCGGTTTCGTTTTATCGGTTGTTTTAGGGCGCGCCGACTATAACGGTCATCTTGGGCCGACTGCCGCTGTCCGAGCTGCGTTTGGGCCGACTGCGCCCCCCCTCCCCCCGCCCCCCGAGCTGCGCCATGCACTCAGATCATCGGCCGGTAACGTTTCGATGGTGAAGATAAGGTATCCTGCGCTGATCTCGGTTAAATGCCCTTTGCCATTGCCACTGGTACTTGTGTTCGAGTTTGAATCCCTTAGCTCAGTCACAACTTGGTATGGGCATCCAAGGAAAGACAGGTTGTTGATATTTTGTGATGAAAAGTGTCCAATCTCCTTTAGACGCGCTGTTCTTTGCCCCACTTTTAATTTTCTGACAGGTGCATGTAGCTTAGCCCTACTCCCCTTCAGCCCATAGCCCAGAAATAGTCACTACTGGCCGACTAGACTCTCATCCAAACTAAACCAAACTAACAAACTCTCGCTCGGGGTGATGGGTACGCCGTTCGTCCGGTTTAGCCCGCGTAACGCAAGGGGGTATATTTGGTTATTTTTCAAAGGGCATGACTCTTGTCACCGTGCATCGTAGCCGTCTGGGTACAGCATGTTCACCGTTAACGATCAGCGGATGTCCAAGGATGTTTTAACTCCAAAAAAATTGCCAATTTTCCCAAATGAACTTTGAACCTTGCCATCAACCAAGTTCTGAATAGTTGTGGTCAATGCATTGTCTGCATAATGTGCAGGAGACTGGAGATAGCCAAGTGGATGTAGTGGTGAGACCAGACCGAGTGACAGACTAGTTCAGACGGCACGGGTGAATATAAAACGAAACAAACAGGCTTTCGGTGGGTGAGAGATTGCGTGCTTGGACGGACCGACAACCATTCCAGTGGCCAGCCCGCAGCCCGTGCTGGAGCAGGTGGGCAGGTGAGCAGCCCGTGCTGGAGCAGGTGGGCAGGTGAGCAGCCCGTGCTGGAGCAGGTGGGCAGGTGAGCAGCCCGTGCTGGAGCAGGTGGGCAGGTGAGCAGCCCGTGCTGGAGCAGGTGGGCAGCAGCCCGTGCTGGAGCAGGTGGGGTAGTACTCGGCGTACCGTAAGCGGGGAATGTCATCCAGAATCCAGATTGTCGCTGGGAGCAGTGGCCTGATACCAAAAACTCCTGCTCTACTTGGCATCAAGGCGG